TTTTTTTTTTTTTTTTGGGTCCGGACATTTTTGCACCCCGGGGACCGGTCCGGACTGTCCGGTGTCCGGTGATGTCCGGATCCGTGGTTACCATGCGCATAACATATCTTTTTTTCAGGTTTTTGTTTTTTTTCAAGTCGGATTTTTTTACGAGGGGGTGGGGAGATGGATCCCGACACTCTGGGACAGGAAACGAGACCGAGGACATCCAGACCCAGACCATCTGCACTGTGGTCGGACATCAACAACAGATCGTAACGATGACCAAATCCCTAAGGCCCAAACCCTAACCCGGAACCCTAAACCCTACCCCCAATACCCTAAATCCTATACCCAGGAACCAAAAACACTAAACCCCTAAACCCCCTAAACCTGAAGCCCAGCATAGGATGGCATTCACTGACTTCCAAAATTGAAAAGAAGGATAGCAAACAGATAAAAGGACAATGCTTGCAACCTACTGGGTAACCATAGGCACCATGCTGAGTCAGCGTCGGCAAGCCACCGAAGCAGTGATGGAAGGGAAGGGACGGGGATAACTTACGCGACTGAGGAATGAGCCCTTTCTCCGTCACAATGCCGCCTGTTTAAAGAAGAAAATCATAAAACAACGAATCAATCAAATTCGACGGTCAACTGAAATGCAGCGTCGCATCCAAAGTAAACGTCATAGCCGTCAAACTTAAAAACCTTGCCCATTTCGAACCCTGAACGAACATCGTACCGCTGTTCGACTGAACACAGCCATGACATCTTTAACAAAGTTGGAACATAAAGAGTATTAAAGACAGACTCAATTTCAGGATCACCATTTTCAGGACCATTCTCAGGACCGCTTTCAGGCCCCACCATTTTCAGGACCACCATGTTCTGTAGGCCAGGACACGGAGTGGGCGCTTGAACTCCGAAAAAACTGCTTGCTGAAGGCGGCACCCTCATTTGTTTTGTGTACTCAAGCAGACACTTCGCGTCTGATCTATCACCAGAAAATCGAGCCAAAGACGCAGTGGGAAGCAGAGGCCTCTCTTATTTGACATTTAAGGCCCAAGGATGGTTCATACCTGAGAATTGACTCAACGACCAGCATTTTCAGGGCAGCATTTTCAGGGCAGCATTTTCAGGACCATCTTCAGGACCTAAACTGTAAACGCAGCGCCCAAAACCCAAACCCTAAACACGATACGGGTGTTTGGCCGAAAACAGCCATGACATTTTTAACAAGTTGGAACGCAAAGAAAGACCATTTTCGGAAATGTTTTCAGGCCACCATTTTCAGGACCATTTTCAGCCCCATTTTCAGGCCCATCTTCAGGACCACCATGTTCAGGACCATTTTCAGGACCACCTTCAGGACCATCATGTTCAGGACCATTCTCAGATTTTGAGATTTGCCAAACTTCCAAAACAATCTTCACATCCATCACTCCTTCCCCAAACACCAACATTTTTTAATGTATTGGGACAATCGCCAGGTTCAGATTCATTCAGAATGTGGGCGTTTGGTGAGTGGTGCGGTGAGACACAAATTCGATGCATCCATCACTCATTCAAACATGATTCGCATCAGATCACTATTTAATACTTGTTGAACTTTTATTCATTGGAAAAAAATCCACACAAAACTTGTATTGGAGATTTACATCGGCCTATAGTTGATGAAACAAGAGAAATTGATGTCCACTTGGGCATCTCACTGCCCTGGACAGCCTATAATAAACAGCGATGAAAATTGTTTTGTTTTTTTTCATTACTGGGAAGATTTGAGACTGGGACCTCAAGCATTCAGCTACGACAAACCTGCGTTGCGACCTGTACACACCCCCATACGAGTACGGAATCATACTCCTGTACTCGTACGCTAGGGGTCCTGTACGACTTTTGTTTTTTCTTTTTAACCCACTAATAAGACTCTGCAGATGATGCTCAGCCAAATATTGCTTGTTTTGTGCTCGTGTATAACATTTTTTTTTCAGATTTCTAATCATTTCTTCGATTTTTGTTTTTGTGTTTTGTTTCGTATGGTGGATTGCAAAACATACGAGATGATGTACAGGTTCCTGTACAGGTCCCGTACATAGGGACAAACTGTTATGGTTGCGCCCAGATTCTATCCTTTTAGGCACTCCCAAAAAAAAAAAAAAAAAATTCAGGCATTAACCATACCCCTTCGTCCCATCACACCAAACATTACGGATGACAAATGAGCTATTAAAAGTTTTAAAGTTTAAACCATAGTTGCGGCACACCGGTGCGCAGCGCGGGTCGGGGTGGTGCGCAGTGCGCTGCACGCTGGAATTCCAGCACGCGTACCGCGTGCACGGAAAAAAAAAAAAAAAAAAAAAAAAAAATTGGGCCACAGAGAGAGAGAGAGAGAAAGAGAGAGAGAGAGAGAGAGAGAGAGAGAGAGAGAGAGAGAGAGACCAAAGGGCCCCTTTTACGTCAATTCAGGGCCCCCTGCAGGCAACTCAAATAGCTCCAACAATGCACTTGGACATTGTGGAAGCATTGAGTATCGTCGTTTCAGCAAGCAGGATCGCCGCGTCATATATGGGAGAGGAGGGAGCAGACCACCAATATATGCTGTAGGTGCGAGTTCAGGTCTGTAGCTCGGGAGTTATGGGTCACCGATTCAGCTAGAACCTGTTCGTGTCTCCACGTGATTCTCAGTGCCTAGCTCCACCACTCAGTGGTACTCACCACATGTATAACATTAGAATGAATCTTCTGCTAAAATATGGAACCACGCACCATCATACGGTATGTCTTTTGTGCATGTGGTGAGTAGTCCCGAGAGGCCCCTTGGGCCAAAAAGAAAAAAAAGAGCGAGCTACAGGCATCTTCATCCTAACCCATAACTGCCGACATGCAGACCTGAATGCCAATCTTCAGCATATATTGGTGGTCGGCTGGACTCACCACACATGAATTGTGCCTTCTGTGGGGCAGGGCACTATTGGGCAATTATACCCTTCTTGCAAATTCGAATGAGGTTCAATGAGCCCTATTTTCATAATCCGCGATTTTGAAATTTTTGGGGGCGGGGCCTGCGGAATTCAAAATTCGGCAGCCCTTGCCCAAAAAATCCCGGGACAAAGGCGCGGACAGTTTCCGAACTCGCGTGGCGAGTTGAACATTATTTCCGGGGGGGGTGCCGTAGGAAATTACGAAACCCCTACTTTTTTTCTTTCTTTTGTGGACCTTAATTTTTCCGGTGCGCTGTGCGTGCACAGATCCGCAGATTCCTTTTTTCAACAGCGCCCCATGCCGCGCGGCCCCTCTGAGTTTTGCTTGTGGCGACAAGAACTTTCTGCGAGGCTGGGGCCGCGTACTGGCGGGAGCTACTCATGCAAATTTAATTACCGCTGTGTTCGCGGAACTATCAGTACAAGTAATTCAGAAGCGGAAAACTCAGCCATCTCAGCCGAAGATCAGCTGATCTCAGGGAATGCAAACCGACAGTGAACTTGGACAGGATTCAGGAGCAGGCTTGCACTCGATTAAAAAAGAATAGGTGGAGTCCAGCAAAGCCAGCATACCGAGTGCTAGGGACTCAGGCCCTCAGGGAACTCAAATGCTTGGGCAGACCTAAGTACGCGTTCAGCTAGCTCAAGGGACTGAGCAGACTCAGGACTTAACAAATTCAATCTGCAGGACCAGACCCAATTCTTGAGACTGAACCAGACTCAGTGGAAAGCTTACGGGCTCAGAGCTTAGATGAAGAATACCGAACTCAAACAGCAAACACAGGGCACGAAACATGACACGACAATCGTGGAAACGGCGGCCACCAGCGGGGGGCACGGAAACAGCGAGGCTCGGAAAATCTCTGCAAATAGCACTCTGCAGATTTATAATCAGGGATTGCAAATATAAGATTGAGCAAACAAGCAGCAGCTGTTGAAGCGCAGTTTCAACACCATCTCGGGAAAAATAACTTAAATAAGTGATGTTACAAAAGGGGCAGCCGCTGTTGGGCGTGGTGGCAAGTCTGCTGTCGTTGCAAACAGCGGGCCCAAAAAAAAAAAAAAAAAAAAGATCTTGGACTAGTGATCTGATGTTATCGGTCACCGAGAGTCATTCTGACTTGAAGAGTATCAGTGCGGTGCTTTAGACTTGAAGACTCGTACCCAACGACACCAACCGAGCCGGAGGGACCGTCCTAGTTGATGCACTAGGCCTGTCACAACGCAGCTGAGACCACAAAGGCCACGGCTTCGGCACACGTTCAGGCAGGTCCTGATGTCATGAAATTGATTATTGTAGATTAAATGTTTTGAGGTCGCTGCTATCGTGTCGGATTCGGTCGGTCACTGTGTGTCTCCACACTTGTTTCTTTGACACTGACTTTGTCATTTGCAGCTTGCAGGGGCCGGGAAATAGCCCTCCCCTGGGTGACAGACGCGGGGCGGAACTCAGGGCTGATTTCACGTGCCGGCAGAACTCTCCCAGTCGACACTGGCCCTAGGGTTAATTCAGAATCATTTCATTGCATACATCGAAGCCCATTAGGATTAGAACTTGGGTCTGTGTGTCCTTCGGGATATCCGATAAAATTGGAACGATACAGAGAAAGAGAAGATTAGCATCGCCCCTGCGCAAGGATGACACACATAAATCGAGAAATGGTCCAAATTAAAATAAAATAAAATTAAAAAAAAAAACAAACTTGGGTCTGTATTCAAACAGTTCATGGGCATACCAACTGAGCTAGGCTCAAGCCCAAGAAACTTCCAGAAGCAGGACTTTCCCCAATAGGCAGAAGGTTTCAGAAGCCCGTGAGGCGGCTGATTTCGGCCTTTCATTTCATTTGCTGAGATACCGCACAACCCTTGAGGTACTCTATTGTGTCAGTTCGCATAGCAGGCCAAAAGAAACGCTCCGCGGAAGTCCCATATAACTCTTCCTGAACCCGAAGTAGTCATGTGCTTCACAGGGTTCGCCAAGGACTGCTGCCTGCCCTCAGGTTCTGCTGCCAAGGCACACAAAAGTATCTGCACTCGCTTGCTCTACATGAATAGCAAACCGCTCTGCAGCATGCAGTCTCGTGCAGAAGTTGGGTCTGCCTACAAATCTGTGGTAATCTAAAGAATACACAGGATCCGCTCCATAAGCCCTTGTGTGATTCTATCAATCAGACTATCTCTGGCTCTCCAGGATCCCGTGAAGTGACACCCCTCCTTCAAAGCGCATCAACAAGCTTGTTATACATTGTTATCTCTGCCCTCCTGATGCTTCAACTCGAAGTCGAACATGTTGATGTACGCAGACCATGCGACAGCTGTCTAATCGCTTTGGCTGGATTCGCTACCATCGCACCTTCTGCGAGGCTCGAGGCCTCGATACGCCCTACTGGGCCCTATCTTCAGAACGGTCGGCCGCCCTAAGTGAAGGCAGGCTCGACCAAGGCCTACAGGCCCATTATTGGGGTCACCACGCAACTGGGAAATTCAGGCAGTTGCGCAGCGCCAGTTGGTTGAGAGCACCCAGGCCCAGGCTGCCTCTTTCGTATGTAACTGAGGCAGGCCCTGGGCCAGATTCTCTACATGGACCGAACAAAGGCCGCGGGCGGTTGGACACGGGCAA